ACAGGAGCTATAACCGTTGGAAAATACATCACAGACAATGCAACAAACGTGGAGACAGAACAATCACTTCTGTGATAAATGCCCACTTATTAATAAACTTCTAACAACCATGGGAAACCTCCTCTCTACATATAAAGTGATATCCAAGCATGGGAAACAAAAGACAGCATTTACCTGTTTGCATCCAGCTAGCCAAGCCTTTCTTGTGTACCAGCTACTTGTGAAGCCTCGTGTTTACGTTTTGTCTTTTTCACGAGATTGCTGCGATATATTCAAATCGGGTTGGTCCGGTGCAAGGTCTTTAAGCAACAATTTATCTGCCAAACTTCTCCTTTCGAAAGGATTGGAGATTAGCTCTTGAACAGAATTAGGCGCGGACCGAGGTCCGGAGACTCCACCTGCACACGAAGCCATCCTCATCAACTACTGCGTCAACCGGATACGAGTCACTGTCCAAACTACTCACAGACTGCACTGGGCGCTGACATTGGCGCCCGGTGACCGTCATCTTTGACGACGCTGATTGGCTGAAATTATATTTTCGCGGCATAGTTTACACGTTACAGATAGCAACAGTCAGCTGCTGGTGGCTGCTGCTGCACTGGTTGAAGGCTCCTCTCTTAGCGCCCAGACGAGAGAAGGTGCATGGGCAAGGCCAGGCAGGAAACATGTGACTTATCAGTAACTTTAGACATCGTAACACAATTTTAAACGAGATTTTATTGTAGATTATACATTTTACTGATACCAATTATATAATATTTACCTTGTTCATTAAAAATAAAAATAAAAACATATATATTTTTTTAAACATTTTTTTTTTTTTTTATTTTAATTTTAATTATTATTTATTTTTATTTTTTTCAATATGGGAAGAGGTGGGGCGGCGCCCCTAGCGCCCCTATGGACCGGCCGCCACTGAGCGCGATGCTGTTATTGATATTGTCTTGAGTGTGCAATAAAAGAGAACCTACATGGCGATTAAACGGAGCCTGTATCTTACATTTTTCATTACATTTCATGTAACTAAGCTTGCTTATTTCTCCTCTGACACTTTATCTTTACAGTGACCTGTGTAGCATCCTATACATCACATGTAAGTGATTATTCTGATACCATCATGTTTCATCGGTTATAAACTGGCGAAGCTTTATTTATTGTGGCTTTCAAAAAGATAATTTCATTGTATTTCAAAATGGCGTCCAACACAAGCACTATTTATTTATAGAAAGAGAAATGGTTAAGTTTGTTATTACCAGTGTTGTGAGTTCAATATTTTTAATTAATTATAGTAAGGGAACATCTTAGGAGTTAGTGTAGTGAGTTTCAGAGCAGTGTAATAATTATTTGACCTAAAACTAAATGTTTTTATGAACATGACATGGGGATTTGCTAACTTTTGATTTCCCCCATTTTACACGACACAAATGGAGGCCACTATGGGCCAAAACTAACACGTAGGTTTCTGTAGGGTTCATGGCAGACGGATGCAGTTGTTCTCATGAGGATATATAATAAAGGTGTGTTAGCTGCTCAGCCTATTTAGTGTGCATACGACACACCTGGCACAGTTTATTCATTTCACACGTAGCGTAGCGCGTGCATGTCGTCGTCCAATCCTTTTGTCAATCCTTCTTAACCGCCTTCGCTTCCGAATCAGCATTGCTATTGCATTTGACTGGTCGACGATCTGTATTTGTGTTTGCTTAAATAACTCAGACGAAGCTCATGTCTGAGGTCGGAAGGTAAACAGACGCCATATACAGCAGGTGGGCGCGGCAGTATACGCGGGAGGTTTTTCTTCTTCTTCTTCTCTCGGTTTTTTGGCGGATTGCAACTTTAAGGTGCATACCGCCACCTACTGTACTCGCCGTGAAGTTGTTTGCGGCCTGCCAGTAAACCCAAAGCAGAAGAAGAAGAAGTGACGTCAGCGGCTTCATTTGCCTAATCCACCCCCAGGAACTCATTTTGGTGTGAACGCGATCTGCTTTAGTTCATCAGAACTAAAAGAGTTCTGATGAACTATTGTGGGAAAAGTACTTGGTGTGAACGCGCCTAAGGTCGGAGATGAACAACTTGGGTCGCAGGTTCCTCAACAGTGCATTACAAGACATAGATCAATATGTGTGTATACCTCCACCATTAAACTGTCGTATTCTGCACATTTCTTATACTATCTACATACATCTTATAAGAGTATAATACATATGTATAATATCAGTTAAAATAAGTGCTTAAACATACAGTAGTTAACATTGCAGGAAAGCAATATAGTAGTACTTTGTCAGGCTTAATATTTATACCCCCAAAGCTTTTTTCTTATTCAAAATAAGACCTTAAAGTGGACCTATCATGCTATATTATAATAATATAGTGTAGGACCATACCTATATAAGGCATATTTATACGTTTCTGTTTTCAAAATACCAAACAGATCATGCATTTTAGCCATGCCTCATTTCGCTCTGTGTGCTGTTTGCTGTCTACGGGGCTGATTTTATGAGCTGCAGCTGACCACGCCCCCCTGCAGGAGAGGGGAGCCGTGCTCTGATCAAGTCAAGAGGGGGAGAAAAAAAGATCTCCGTCCTCCGTGTTTTATTTATATATACAATCTATGGTTTTATTATATTATTATAGGCCTATAGAGTCGTTATTCATTTGTTTTAAAGCTCAATAAATAACAAAGAAGACCTTTGACCGGCACTTTTCTAATTTTGTCCGGAAGATTTAAACTTTAACGGACATCTTGTCCGGCGAAAGAAACTGAAACTGAAACTCTGCCGCACGGTCCCTTCGTTCTTTGGAAGAGGCGGAGAGGTGGGTGTTTGTCATCTGCTGGTGGACTATACCGGAGAGAATTACAGTGCTTGCCTCGACGGGGAGGGATTGCATTGAATTAAAGCAGCGGGAGCAAACGCTTGCCTCGGGGAGGGAGAAAAAAAGCCACAGCGGAGAATAAACAGAAGGGTAACCATGGTAACTATGGGCGGGAAGTCTTCTTCGCTGCTTTTGTGGCAGACTACAGCGCCACTTACAGGCCTGGCATATGTACTACAGCGTCTCCAGCGCTTTCGAGCAGCAATGGCCGGCCGTGGCCCAACCCCACATTCCCCTGATAGGTGGAGAGTTGGCCCAATAGCCGTAGCGTCACTTCTGTGACGTCAGTGAAGTCTTCAAATCTGGATCAGTCTGTATCAGATCCGTTGCAGCCCCGTTTTTAGAGATTTGGGTATGGAGGAAAATAGAGAGGGTTGTGTTTTCTGACACTTGGTGAGTTCCCTGGAACACCGGGGACACATATTCATGTATAAAAGACGTACAAAAGTGCATTTTGCATGATAGGTCCCCTTTAAATTAACTTTTTCTCAAAAAACGTAAGATTAGCCACATGCTAATGCTAACCGGAGATGAATAATTTTCAGAATAAAAGTTTTAAATTAAGAGTGTGTGAACTTCCGGTTTTTCCAGAATAAAACAGCTTTAATTAAAACCGTAATATTTAATCACGCCATATAAACATTGATTTTAATTTCTTACATCGGACATGACAACCTGTGTAGCCCATGTATTGATCCCATCCGATAGCTGCTATAATACTAAACAAAACGTCTGCCTGCTCTCCACAATGATCAATGACAGCGAACGGATGGTCAAAGTAAGGTACAAATAAACAGAATCACACTAAGCCTGGTTGGTGTTGCCTGACTTTAAAATGTGTTTTTTTTATAAGTGTGTGGTCGCGTTCTAGTCACTTTGCTCAGCGCTACTGCTTTTATTTGCCGTATTCGCTATGAATTGTTGTCGCCCCCTGCCTCAGACGTAAGCGTGAAGTATTGGTTCTTGGTTCTTGCCGGGCAGCCAAGTGGGGCCAGCTAAGAACCGATTTTCGGTGCTTAGAGCCGGCCCCGCTGCGGTGGAAACAGGAAGAACCAGAGCTTAATCAGGCTCTAGCCCGGAACCGGTTTGGTGGAAAAGGGGCATAGGAGACTTCCAATGGCACCTGAAATAATGCACCATGTCTCCAACAGAACTCCTGTTGAAGGGGCAATGTGTAACCATGGCCAGAACTGTGGATACAAAAATAAAGGTTACAGCATTGACGTTATTTCAAAGACATTTTTGTTTTTTGAAAAGATATCTACTGAAATTAGCATGCTAACCAGCTAGCCTCAACCTTTCCTTCACAATTTCCTCAAGAGGCGAAAGAGAGTCACTGCAGCGTCCAGTCTGAGAGGACGAAGAAGTGGAGCTGCCCGAGTGCTTTCAATCTGGAAAGTTCCTAGAAGGAACATCAAACCCTAAACCTAGAAACACTTGTTTCTAGGTTTAGGGGTCAGCTTGTTCTCTATCCTGCCAGGATACTTCTGGAGAGTAATGTGCAGATTACAAATAGGGCTTACATTTTTTTCTTAACACCTTAAGATAACTTAATTATATATATAAATAAACTGTTCATGCCTGTGCTTCACACTAAAGGTCTTCATGTCTTCACCAAACACTAGGACCCAGGTCGCCACTCAGAACCTGGTACGTTTTAAAATTGTATATATTACATTAATGGATTCTTTCAGGGTGTAGTTCCTTTCCAGGAAGTACATTTCCACTTCTTTGCGGGTTCAGGACCAAATCTTTGGACCTGTGAAGAATTCACATTAAAAGCATTCAACTGCCCAAACAAGGGTGGCTTTTATGTTTATCAGTCACATTAAAAACTGGGATTTGTGTTTGTCAGTGAGGTTAGCACTGACAAAAATGTTAACAAATGAAGCTAAGTGCTGGCTATACATTCATTCACTCCACAGCTGTATATAATAAGCTCATCATGGGTGTTCTCTTTAACCAATTAAATTTCACCACAATCATTGTGCTAAAGTGCAACTTTAAATCTGTTCTCCTCTCTCCTGCAGTCAGCTGTGATTTAAGGCGTTAATGATGCATTCTGTCCATGGAAATTGCTCTCAAAATCTCCATATTTTATTCCACAACAAAGGAAACAGAACCAAATATGCATGCCTTTATTTTCTTGTCTATCAGGCTCAACAGAGAAACAGGTGATGTCAAATAAGAGGCAGAGCGACACAGTCAACACACGAAGCACTGTATGCACTGTAAAAACACACTTTATATGATCAAACTAAAGCATAAAATGTGAATCTCTGAGGGGCCGAATGGCATGAGAATGAGCATTTAACAGAGACAGAACAGAGGTCCCTTTGTGAACGAGTTAGATTAGCATATCACTGAGGAGCAAACACAAAGCGCCTTGAGGGCAGCAGGGGGGGTTTACAAACCTTATACAGAACATCCTGAAAATCCATGCTTCAATGTGACACACAAAAATCTAATCAAAAATCATCCTTGTACAATTAAATAAACTCTTTGTGAACAAACGTATCTCCAACAAAACTACCTTGTATAAATGCAGAATGGTTAGAAGCCAATGTTTCCTCGAGCCATGCAGTATCCCAGTTTGTTCTGGTTCCCCAGGAAAGACATGAGGCCCACGTAGGCCTCGATGTGGATGAGCTCGTTCAGGACCATGACGCCGTTGGCCTTCCCAGGAACCGGCTTCACGGCATGGACCTTCTGCGCTGCAGCCCTGAGCTGCTCTTGAAACTTCTGGATCTGTGGGAGTTGAGAGGATCAGGAAGATATCAGACAACTCTTGACTTCCTGTTTACGTCTCTTTTACTCTTCTCCTTGGTGTCATCTGCATTACATCTTAAACTTGTTTTAAAGTAACTCTTGATTATTTTTTATCAACAAGAAAAACACAACTCATGAGTGCAAGTCATGGAATTCAGTCATGTGGAGAGGCTCAATAGAAGCCTAAATAGACAGACTGGATTTCAACACGCCTCAAGAGTATCTACAGTATGAATGCATGTGGAATAGAGTGAGTGATTGAACCATGGCAGAAGTTCAACCTTTTGCTCCAAACCCTTTGCCTTGTAGTTCTTTAACAAAATAAAAACATGGTGTTAATGATTTGAGCACTAAAGAGGAGTGTTTAACCACATTTGAGCCAGCAACACGGATCTCATGCTCAGAATCATCAAAGCTGCTCACACTCGTGCCACTTTGCTTTACACAAGGGAAAAGGCAGAGGTAAATAAGAAAGTGTGTCTATGAGGATTGAGTAAACTGTAATCACTGGGGGATGGACTCACGTCGCAGAGAACAGAGAAAGAGTCGCTGACGGTCCTGACGGGGTGGTGGGTGAACGTGACAAATGGGAAGTCCGCGGCGAAGGGGTTCCACCTGGAGGTGAAGGAGGGCTCTCTCAGCCGGTCCCAGAACACTCGCACCCCCTCCCCATCTCTCCTGAACACATGGAAACAATGGAACACATGAAGACAAAGTGTCTTTCTGTCAGTGACAAGTCAAACATGATTCAGATTCCACAGTTCATGTTGTCACCACTTCAATGACACTGCTCACTGCTTTCTACAAACAAGCTATTCTTCAGTTTCCCACAGAGAATTATTCACCAAACACTGAATATAAATGCTTCCTTTGCCTCCGGCCACATCCACAATAGCTGCAACTTAAAGGCTGTCATTCATAAGTGACACTTATGTGGATTTGAATTTGTTCTCGCTTAGAGCTTTTATCCCAGGCATCATGAAGGAAAGCCATCATGTAATTGTAAACAGAGCTACAAAAGAGAAAGCAAAGTGCAGCTGTGTTGCAGGTACGCTGCTCAGACTGAGGTCTCTGCACCAGACCTCTCAAAGTAAGACCGCTAGTTAGGTGCTTTTACAATTACATGTTTTTAAAATGTAAAAAACACATGAAGTTAAAGTAAGAATGTGCAATTAAAAGATAAAATAAAATTCTAATATTTATATAAACATATTAAGTTATAGTTAGAATTTTGAATAAGAGATATAAAAATGATTTATTTGCAATGAGCCTGTTATTGCACTGTGAACCTTTGGTGAGCAGGTACAACCCATGAGGAGGCATACGGTTTAACAACACCACCTGCTATAGATGAAACTCACTGGGTGTTTTCAGTGCGGATATCATGGCAGTTGGATGGAAGAGAACATTGAAGGAGGAAAACAAAGAAGACTTATGCAAACTGTAAATACTGTCCTGCTGTTAGCTGCAGCGCTTTACCTCACGCCTAACGGGCAAACAATGTCAGAGCAACAGCAGTGTGCATCCATATCCTTATCTCCCAGAGCTCTGTAAGTTTTCCAGAGGACAAAAATCACAATTAAGTACTAAGAAAACTATGTATGGGCTGGAAATGCTTAGTTAGTGCTTAGTGCCAGAGTTATTTGAGTTTGAGACATACAGTATACTACACCCTACGCTAGTATTGTGCAAGCCGGAGAACGTAAAAATGTCCCTACCTTTTAGTACTTACAGTAATTGGGTGCACAAAAGAAGAGGAATAACTACTTCCTGGTATGAACAAAAACATACCTTAGTGTAGCATTAATCTTGCTTCAACATCAGTTATCCCCAAAAGGGGAAATACAGTATTGGACCTCAATGGTTACGATGCAATAAAAATGAAAGAATGGCATTAAATATATAATGTGTTTGAGATATTAAAGTAAATATCTTATGTTGTATTGAAAATGCCCTCAGCCCAGTAAGACCTCAGATCACTGGCAGGTGTTGATGTATGCTGTGAAGATCCTAATCAGCCCTCTATTTTCTGTTTGTCACTCATGTGACATCAAGCTGTTATATCTCTGAGCCTGTATCATCTGTGGGGAATACAGCCACTGTTCAGAGAGAGATCTATTGCTGGGCCAGGTTAACCGTAGCGCAGACTAAAGAGTATATGTGTATTTATAAGAGAGAAGTCTCTGATATGTACAAAATATCAACACCACACTTAATGATCATTTTACCTTGGTGCTTTGTACCAGTTTCAGGAGAAGTCTCCTATATCCCCTGACTGGATATGGACATTATTTTGTTTAGTGGCTCTACTGATTGTGCCTTTGTGATCCACTGGATCCAACAGAATAGGGACATATAGATACATTTAATAATTGCCTGACATCCACACCGACCTCTATGTCATACTGAAAAGCAAATCCAGTCATATTTATAACTGGCCTCATATTCATGTAGCAAAGATACAAGTAGAGCTAAACCATCACGTCCACTCACTGCACTGCACAACAGAAAAAGAATCAGCCACTATTTTGAAAATCTATGAATTAATAATCATCAGAGATAAGGAACTGGCACAGGGGTCTAACTTCACAGCGCCAGATTATTTCTATATTATTACATGTGGTCATCAGCACCAACAGACACTTACTCAAATCACATCACTTAAGGACATTTACCAGAAGTCCTAAAGCTCACACAAATTGGCAACTTAATAAAATTGCCTTGTATGACAAATGTTCAAAATGACACACTATCGTTGAAGACCGTTAATAGGGTTTTAAAACTATTATGTTTTTAAACAAAGTAAATATACTTTATAATAAAGGGACATTGTGCTGACTTTACAGATAAAGTTCAGTTTACTTTATCAAGAAGTACTATACTCAGCTTTTATAAAAAGATGTGTGATGTCTCTGAAAGATATTATTGAGTTGCATTATGGGATATCTAGGATCCAAAGTTTGTCCAAACCATATATAAGAAGAGTATGGGGTGTGTCTCCTTCAGCAGATTACTGAGCAGGGGTTGAGATGTGAGATGCTGTGTAACCCGTAAAGTGAAACTCACAGTAAGACAAACTTCTCTTAGAAACCTTTGCAACTGTTTAATGAATGTGAATACCCAGCAGAGCTTCCATCCCACTGACCTGGGAGCTCACCCAAATACTGTTTAGGAGTTTGATGTGGTTAAGGAACTAAGAAAAGAGTGAAAGTGCTCATTTCAAGAGAATTGGTTGTGTGTGTGACAATCATTATACATGCTAAAGGTAGAAAAAGATTCCTTTGCATTCAGCATTTAACTCTCCTGCTTCACACCCCAACAGATGTAGCTCTGACTGAAATAAAGTCTGCTGAGTACTGACTGCTCTCTGCTGTCTGAGTGTGTGAACTGCTCTGGTTTGTGTGTGAGTGTTTGGAGTGACTGTGAGGAGGATGACTGTTTGTAAACCATGTCTTAAGGAACTCATACCACGACTGTCTCAACTACAGATTTAAACCCTATTGATGCTATATTAAAACCATGAGATTATTTCCAACCTTTGTAAAGATATATACAGTATTTCCTAACTGAATTCAGCCTCTAGTGCGGCTTCTTTAAGCCTCAGCACCATCTCTCTCAGACAGGAATAAAGAAACAGATGATGTGCTGGGTAATTAGCTTGTCTAGACAGTTTGGAAAGAAGGCTCTTAAAACACATCCTTCCCCACAGATGCTTTTTCATCATGGGCGCACCTGGAGAAAACACAATGAGAACCAAAGCATTAGCACTAAAAATACTGACGCTCCCTTAACAGCTCTGTTGGCATCATGCAGGTTGTGGAGACTGATGGAGCTTAGACGAGGGTCCTGACGGAAAATCACGTCCTCCATAGAGGGAGGTCTTTTCTTTGATCTGAAGCTATGGGCCAGGGAACACTGGGGTCAAATATCCACTAAAGTGCTGGTTGCACAGTGTTGCACAGTATTATCAAAGATAAGAGAAAATACAACAACAAAGGATTATAGATGCATGTTATGTTTTTCACACCAAATATTGTAAGAAATGACTGCTAAAAAAACTGAAGGGATTAAAGATCTACAACCAACGGACGTTAGCAAAACGTCCATCAAGACTGCTGTAGTGAAAAATGCTTCGGAACAATTGTGCAATATTAATTATATTTAATGCCTAGATGAAGCCAAAAATGGCTCCACTTTTATGACTGTGAAGATTCTATCTTCCATGCAGCCCATACAGAGCACCAACTTTCTAGCAACAATGATTAATGCTTCAAACTGATGAAGAAATGTGATGGCTGCTGCTGCTCAGAACCGTTTCTAGTGAGGCTGCACACTGACAGCGAGCGGTCAGGTGACTGCTGCTGAAGATATCTTGTGTTCTCACACAAGTCATAGAAAAGTGTCAGGAAAAAGCAGCTTAATATACAGTAGATGCATATATTGATGTAGAGAAAAGGAGATTCTAAAGTTTGTAGTCATATGTATTTGCTTTTAATTAGCAAAGGTACTGTAGATTATTTTATCACTGTCAGAGCTTTTTGATATATCACCTGAAGACATCTTTAATATCCTTTCTTTGTATTTGAAAAGTCATACTGTGGCCTTCTTTAACTTCATATGTAGATACAACCACACACCTCAATGTGAAAAACGCAAACAGAGATATAGAGGCTCACAGATTTTACATGCACGCGAACACCATGAAGTTCAACATTTCAGACAATGGGCTCGTTCCATTTAACACAAGAATCAGAGCGGGGGAGACCATCACAAAAGGGGGGAAGACACAAAGACAGGAAGTGGAATCAGACAGGACACAAGGGCCGTGTCTCAATTCAGGGGCTGTACCCTTTGGAGTACGCAGCCTACGCGGTCCACGGAGGACCCAGCCCACGTAGACTGGGTAGGCTGGACCGAGCGGCCTACGAAATGAGATGGTCTAGCCTACGGAGGGCTTCGTATTTACGTCACGTGATACGCGCTGTTCGGTTGCGCTGCTCCAGCAGCCTGCTAGCAAAATAGCTTACAAGCTAACTCAGCTGAAAAGGATCCAGAAACGTTACTTTTACATTTTTTGAAGATCACCGTCAGCGATGAATTAAAGAGGACCATGGCCAGGTAAATAAGATGAAGCTGTTCCTTTAGCCCCCAGTAATGTTACATTAGTAAGTTCACAAGTACATTATATATAGCTGATATATTCATATTTAAAATAAGTCTTAATTTTTCTGTACTAATAAAACAATATGTTTTTTAAATTAACAAAAGCATGTTGTATAGATTGATTCTTAACAATATTAGTGTTCTAATCTTAATAGCTGTGATCATAACAGTTTATATTCTCCTTCTTCCCCTAAACCTGCCCAGATGATGTCCCACTGACCCCAGGTCAGCACCTCCAGGTCCAGCAGCACCGTGACCCCCCGCTCTGCTGAAATACACAATTAAACATTTTCTATGACCTATTTTTTGTATTAATAAAATTAAACTGAAGACAGTTTAATGACCTAGAGATATCCTATTATTCCACTGCTTATGTACACATGTTGGAAATAATGGTTAAAACCTCAGTAAATGAAATCAAATGAAAACAATTACTATTTAATATTGTATTTTCATCTTATCACAAAGTAGAGGTAAGAATATATCCATCCTCTCTCTGCAGCTTCATGTCTTCT